GGGTGGGGGGCCTTGTGAGATGCCTTCTGCAGTAGCTGTGACGGGACCACGGCCCCTGGGGGAGTGTCCAGCTTTTCTGCTGGCCTGGCGCCTGGGAATGTGGGCCCCTGCCCCCGCAGCCTCCCTCCCCCCAGCCTCAGATTCTAGAAAGTACCTGTTCCTGCTCTGTGCTGGACCATTCTGATGGTCGCCACCGGTGTGGGGCTGGCCACTCTGGGTGGCAGAGACCCCAGGAGGGCATGGCCCGGGGCCCTGGGCTCAGCAGGCCCAGCAGGTGGGCTGCGAGAGGGGCAGGAGCAGGTGAGGCCTACCGGGTGCCCGTCCTCCAGCCTGGGTGTCCTCACTTATCTGTGCTCACCCGCCACCTGCTCATGGAGGTGAAGACGGATGAGGAGGGAGCGCTGCAGGGGACAACGGTGGCTGTGCAGGCTTGTCCCCTGGGCTTGCCGTCCCCCTGGGCCGTTTGCTGGCTTGTTCACAGCCCTGGCTCGTGTCCTCGGAGGAGGCTCCTTCCTGCCCAGCGGCTCCCAGGCTGTGTCTGCGGAGGCACAGCAGCCCTGCCCCTGCGCTGAGCTGAGGATGTGGTGAGGGGAGGCGCTGGCGAGGCTCCGGGGCTGCAGGCGCCCCTCCGGGCCGACCCCAGTGCAGGGCCTGCGTGCCTGTCCTCGGCCTCGTCAGAAGGCTCCCTGTGTTTATGACAGGCAGGCACGTGCAATGAGTGCGCAGTGAGTGGCTCAGGGTTGCCGGGAGCTCCTGGACAGACACAGCCCCGACACGGGGAATCCCGACTCTGCCATCAGGCGTCCGCTCCTAACCCTGCTTCTCCCTCAGAACCCGGCCTGGCCAGCCCGCAGTCTCCGAGCCCCTGGGGGCCAGGCCTGGACACCCAGAGCCCCTGCTGCTCTCCGGTCTGTCGGTGAGCTCCGCACAGGGAGGCCCTGACTGACTGTTGAATGGATGAAGCACCTGTGTCCCCAAGGCCAAGCCTTGGCCAGGTGGAGGGTTCTGTGTGTGTGTCCTCGGTGAGGGGCTGCGGGGCAGAGATGGCAGGCTCGAGCCCCCCCATGAAGATGGGCACAGATCCTGAACTGGCTGAGCAGCTTCGAGGCGGCAGGGGACGCTGGTGGTCTGGACCCCCAGGCGCTGCAGGGGTGCAGCAGCAGTCCCCGTTACAGAGGGTGTGGGGGGGAGCCAGTGGGTAGCAGTTGAGGCTGTGGGATTTGATCAAGGGAATTGTGCCCTGGTCCCCACCTCGGGGGGTGGGGCTCAGACCCATTGTTCTCCTGGTGGCCACACCCGAGCTCGAGGGTGGGGCCAGGCGCTGTGCCCTCCTCTCCTCACCTCTCCTCCCCTGGGGGGGAGGATTTAAATGAGGATTAGAGCCCTGGCTGGTTTGGCTCAGCGGTTAGAGCGTCGCCTGCCGACCGGAGAGTCCCGGGTTCGGTTCCCACTAAGGGCACGTACCTTGGTTGCAGTTTGTCCCTGGCCTTGGTTGGGGTCGTGTGGGTGATAGCCACTCGATGTGTCTCTCTCTCTTCCTCCCTCTCTCCCTCATGCTCTATCTGAAGATAAATGCAAAAATGTCCATGGGTCCATGGGTGAGGATTAAAAAAATAAATAAATGAGGATTAGACATTCACTGGGCCTTCTTCTCAGCCGTGTCCTTGCTGCAGTCACAGGCCCTCCTCAGAGGGAGGACGCTGAGGCGTGGAGAGTTTAAGCAGTCAGCCTGAGGTCACCCCAAGCCTTCAGAGCTGGTCACCCCCTCCACACTGCTGCTTCCGGGCCGAGACCCACTGCAGCCGGCCCCGCCCCGGTTGCCCAAGACCAGACATCAGATGAAGTGAATGCCACATCCAACCCTAGTTCAAGTGGCCACCTCTCCTGCCAGCGTCACCTGCCAACATTAGGCTGAGTACTTTCGGACAGGACCAGAAGGGGTAACTGCATGAGAGGAGACTGAATTGAGAGATGGGATGCTTTGATCAAGGACACGACTGCCCTCAAAGCCTATGGCTCAGACTAGCCAGCAGCTACCAAGAACAGGCTGTGTGTGCACTGTGCCCAGCCCTATATAGGAGACAGGGACAGAGAGCTGGACACTGTCCCTGACCTCAGGCTGTTTCCGTGGCTGGGGCAGGGCCAGCGGCGGCCACTTGGGCACCATTGCACAGCAGTCCCCAGGCCTGAACTGGTACAGAGCCATGCACAGCTGAGGCAGCCGCAGAGCAGAGGCTACCAGAGCAAGGTTCTGAAGGATGGCTAGGAGTTCACTGTGTGTACGTTCGTGCCCGTGCATAGCTGAACGGTTTGTGCATGTGACTTCTGTCCAGCACCTTGCGATGCCATCAGTCTGGACATGGTGTGAGGGTTCGCTGTTGTCAGGCCTGGCCCTCAGTTGTGTGACGGCTGCTCTGAAGGCGTTTTAGGGGCTCACTGTTACTTGGTATGTGCTAAGGGCCAGATACAGAGACGGTTTTCAAACACGAGCCTTGGGGGGGTGCTAATGTTCTCTTTTTTTGTCCAGACAAGGCGCTTGAAGCTGAGAGAGACAATGAGTCCTTTTTCTCAAGGGTCTTCCCCTTGCCTGGCATGACCTCACTGTGGCTGGCCTGTAAGTCCTGAGGTTCTCCATGGTGGCGTTGGCTGTCTGTGTGCACTTGGCATCCGACGGCAGGTGCAGATCTGTGAAGCTGTGTGTCTCCTGGGGAGGAGGACAGGCAGGGTGTGGACAGGGCACCTCCCTGGTCCTCCGGGCTGGAGGGCTGGCCACGCCCTGCGTGGGAGCCTCTGGCTTACTTGGTGCCCCACTGATTTCTGGACGTTTTTTCTGCCCACGGGTCCCTTTGGGTGGGGGGGATCTGATGGTGGGGTCACCTGCCTAAGCTCAGGCACCTACGTGGCTCCACTGGTTTCCACGGAGCCAGACGGGGGCTGCTGTAGGAAGTGGGCCCGTGGGTGTGCTGGTGGCTTGGCCCGATTTCCTCTTCTCACGTTAGTGTCAGCACCTGTTTCCAGCCGCACTCGCCCAGCAGACTGTGGTGACTGCGGAGCCCAGAACTGTGAGGGCCGCTCCCCAGTGCCCCCCCCCCTTGCTCCTCACACCCTCCCTCACTCTCCTCAGGGACCTCGAGTTGCCTTGAGGGGTTAGACATTCCTTGGTGATGCACCTCATCTTTCTGGTCTCCTTGATGTTGCTGTGAGCGCTCTCTCCATCTGAGCTGCTGCCTCCCCCAGAAAGTCCTCTTTGATTGCCCAGGCTAGATGGAATTTCTACCATGGCTCCTTCAGGCCCATGTGCCTCCTCTTTCTCGGGGCTGGACCGATGTCTGGTTGATCTCTGCTGCCTCAACAGAGAGGCCCAGATCTGGGCACGGAGCAGGTGCTTGGGGAGAAATGGCCGAATGTACTACATGGTAAGAGAGAGCATCTAAGAGCTGGTCGGCTGCTGTGGCCAGGGCCAGCCAGAGAAGGAGCAGCAGCGAGGCACAGGCCCTCCCAGGCCAGCCAGGGGTCGAGATCTCTGGAACTGGGCACTCTGCAGGACCCCGGCATGGCTCTGGGGGGCCAGGCCAGTGCTCCAGGCATGTGGTCCACTTCAGGGTCTTCGAAGGAGAACACAGCTGAGGGGAGTGATGGCCGCGGCCTGCTGGCCTCAGACAGCTACTGGCTGGCTCTCTGGTCCCGGGCGACCCAGCTGCTGGGCCCTCCTGCCTGCCGGGCGCCAGCCTTTCTCACTGTCTGCCGCGCCGCCAGCTCCCTCGTCCTCGCGCTCTGGGCCTGCCTCTCCTGACCTGTCAGTGCTGTTCTTCCTGCTGCTTAGGGGAGTCTGCAGGGCTGTGGGTGGCAGTCTCCATGTCCACCTCCACTTCCCTCCCCTGCAAAACCCTCCCCCACCTCTGCTCAGCATCCCCCTCTGCTCCCCATCTCATCTTTCTCTGCTCTTCTCCCATGACCCTCACCCCTCTTCCCTCCCTTTTTATTGTTTGTCTCTCTCTCCCACTCTCCCCCTTCCCCGCACCCTACGCCCCATCATGGAGAACTCTGGGCCTGGAGGGAGCAGGGCCTAAGAGAGGGGGATCTGGGAGACCCTGATGGAGCTCCTGGTCAGGGCTTCCTCTCAGGTACTCTCCTGGCCTTGGGTCTTGGTCTCTCTCCCTCTGCCTTTACCCACCTCTGCCCTCCACCTCCTCCCAGCATGTGGCTGTGGCTGTGTGTGTGCGTGTGTGCATGAGAGTGTGTGCACCCTGCGTGGCCTGTGGGCTGTGGCTGTGTGTGTGTGAGAGAGTGTGCACCCTGCGTGGCCTGTGGGCTGTGTGTGTGTGAGAGAGAGTGTGCACCCTGCATGGCCTGTGGGCTGTGTGTGTGCGTGTGTGCATGAGAGTGTGTGCACCCTGCGTGGCCTGTGGGCTGTGGCTGTGTGTGTATGTGAGAGTGTGTACCCTGTGTGGCCTGTGGGCTGTGGAGAAGGGAGCAGGATGGCTGAAATGGGTTGTATTTGAAAATCAAGTCAGATTGGGAGCTGACTGCGACCCCTGGCTACCCTGGCTGCCCTCCTCATCCTGGTGGCCCCTCCCAGCCCAAGGACTGAATCCAGGACATGTGGGAACCCCGTGGGGAGCTGGGGCTGCCCCTTGTGATAGAGCCACCAGGGTGGAGGCAGAGCCCCAGAGTGCAGTGTGAGGTCAGCAGGGAGGGTGCCTGATTCCCCCTCCTGTCTGTGAAGAGTCACTGCAGCCTGTCTTGATTCCCTCTTGGCTGATGGGCAAACCCTGGAGGAAGGGTGGGGTCCAAGACCTGAGGGACTCAATTCTGCCCTTGGGGGTTATAGCAGCCATGAGACCTGATGGTCCCAGCACCCTGGGCTGGCGATAGTGGCCTTGGGCCTTCCAGACTCTGGCTGGGGTGGGGCGGGGCCTGTGGTGTTGATAACTGGACACTCTTGCTTTGGCCAATCTCTCTGTGAAGGTGACACTCTCCTTCTCCCTCTGCCTCTGCAGGTCCTCCAGAAACTGGGGAAGGCCGACGAGACAAAGGACGAGCAGTTCGAACAGTGTGTCCAGAATTTCAACAAGCAGCTGGTGAGTGCGGGCGGCCCTCGGCCTAGGGAACTGGTGGAAATGGGCCCTGCTGCCAGGTGGGGACCCTCAGGAGGGACTTATGGAGAGGGGGCCTCAGAGGAGGGGTCGGCGAGCCCAGGGGGCTTTCTGGAGGCAGGAGCACTGGCACTGGACACAGGCCAGGGGCTGGGATGGACCAGGCCTCTCTCTGCTCCTTGTCCAGGTCGGAGCCCCAGAAAGTGCTGAAGGTGCCTAGCAACGTCTCCACAGCTGCAGTGGGACCCAGGGCAAGAGAACTCTGACAGCCAGGGGCTGGGGAGCCTGCGGGGAGGGGTCCAGGGAGCAGGGAGGGGTCCAGAGAGCCTGCGGGGAGGGGTCCAGGGAGCAGGGAGGGGTCCAGGGAGCCTGCGGGGAGGGGTCCAGGGAGCAGGGAGGGGTCCAGGGAGCCTGCGGGGAGGGGTCCAGGGAGCAGGGAGGGGTCCAGGGAGCCTGCGGGGCGGGGTCCAGGGAGCCTGCGGGGAGCCTGCTGGGTGAGGGCCCAAGGTCCTCTTCAGGAGCTCAGCTGAGACACCCCCGGGGCAGGGACAGACGCCCCCATGGCACTTGTCCCCAGACCACAGACAGGAGCTGTTCCAGGGCCCTGATCGGCACTGTGGCAGAGTTGCGTCTGTGGCCCTGGGTGCGCCCCTGGTCTTTGGGCCTCAGTTTACCATCATTGATAGATGGTTGAACAAGAAATCGAAGTTTCAGTGTCCAGTTCTGTCTCCCATGAGCCCATGGGGTCAGTCCTCACTGGGCTGACCTCCGTGGTGGGCGCTTCCCGGGAGGTGTTTCAGGCCTTGTGCACCCGAGTGCCTGCCGTGGCCCCGTCCTGCGATGCGCTTCGGGGCCCCAGCCTCGCCTATTGAGAGGGTGCTGACATTCTCCTCATTGCACGGAGGAGGCTCTTGAGGCTCAGAGGCTGGCAGGTCCTTCTGAGGCCACACGGCTGGTGTGGGGGCGAGAACTTCCATGCAGCTCTGTCCGCTCAGGTCCCACAGTGGAGCCGAGCACAGTTCTGAGGGCCACTGGCTGGCCCGGAGAGAAATGTTAGGAAGCTGCTGAGCGGCAGCCTGGGTTGGGGGTGCTGGGGGTGCTGGGGCTGCCCGAAGCTGGCCGGGCTGTTTGGCGGAAGGGGAGGAAACGGCCCTCTGGGAGCTGAGGTTCCCTGTGGCCCCGCAGCTGTGACAGCGGGTTGTGGCCCAGTCATCCTGGGCCTGGCGCTGGGCACGGCTTGCTCCCTGGTGTCTGGGCAGAAGGCCGGGCAGGGAGCCAGGGCTGAGGGAGCCAGGTCTGGGGCTCCCCGGCTGTGGACATAGAGTGGCCCCTTGAGCTGGGCCCTTCCCGTCTCAGCATGGGTGGGTGCTGGCTTTGCAGGGGCCAAAGGTGGTACAGGAAGGGGCAAACTTGAGTTCTTATTCAAGACTAGGGGTGACCTCCCTGGGCATTTAGGCGGCCGGGCACTCTGGATTTGATTGATGTGTGGGAGTGACTGGGCCCGGGGACGGGCGTCAGGACTAGAAAGACGTGACAGTCACCCTTCTGGAGGCAGTGAATGCAGCCAGCTGAAGGGGACTTGGCCTTGCCGATCTGCGGCGGGGCGAGGAGGGCCCTCGGAAAGGCGGGGTGGAGGTCAGGGAGGGCCCCCAGAAAGGCGGGGTGGAGGTCAGGGAGGGCCCCCGGAAAGGCGGGGTGGAGGTCAGGGAGGGCCCTGGAAAGGCGGGGTGGAGGTCAGGGAGGGCCCCCGGAAAGGTGGGGTGGAGGTCAGGGAGGGCCCCCGGAAAGGCGGGGTGGAGGTCAGGGAGGCCCCCGGAAAGGCGGGGTGGAGGTCAGGGAGGGTCCTGGAAAGGCGGGGTGGAGGTCAGGGAGGCCCCCGGAAAGGTGGGGTGGAGGTCAGGGAGGGCCCCCGGAAAGGCGGGGTGGAGGTCAGGGAGGCCCCCGGAAAGGCGGGGTGGAGGTCAGGGAGGCCCCCGGAAAGGCGGGGTGGAGGTCAGGGAGGCCCCGGAAAGGCGGGGTGGAGGTCAGGGAGGCCCCGGAAAGGCGGGGTGGAGGTCAGGGAGGCCCCCGGAAAGGCGGGGTGGAGGTCAGGGAGGCCCCCGGAAAGGCGGGGTGGAGGTCAGGGAGGGCCCCGGAAAGGAGGGGTGGAGGTCAGGGAGGGCCCCGGAAAGGAGGGGTGGAGGTCAGGGAGGGCCCCGGAAAGGAGGGGTGGAGGTCAGGGAGGGCCCCGGAAAGGCGGGGTGGAGGTCAGGGAGGGCCCCGGAAAGGAGGGGTGGAGGTCAGGGAGGGCCCCGGAAAGGAGGGGTGGAGGTCAGGGAGGGCCCCGGAAAGGCGGGGTGGAGGTCAGGGAGGGCCCCGGAAAGGAGGGGTGGAGGTCAGGGAGGCCCCCGGAAAGGCGGGGTGGAGGTCAGGGAGGCCCCGGAAAGGGAGGGGTGGAGGTCATGGGAGGCCCCGGAAAAGGCGGGGTGGAGGTCAGGGAGGCCCCGGAAAGGCGGGTGGAGGTCAGGGAGGCCCCGGAAAGGCGGGGTGGAGGTCAGGGAGGCCCCGGAAAGGCGGGGTGGAGGTCAGGGAGGCCCCCGGAAAGGCGGGGTGGAGGTCAGGGAGGGCCCCGGAAAGGAGGGGTGGAGGTCAGGGAGGGCCCCGGAAAGGAGGGTGGAGGTCAGGGAGGGCCCCGGAAAGGCGGGGTGAGGTCAGGGAGGGCCCTGAAAGGCGGGGTGGAGGTCAGGGAGGGCCTGGAAAGGCGGGGTGGAGGTCAGGGAGGGCCCTGGAAAGGCGGGGTGGAGGTCAGGGAGGGCCCTGGAAAGGCGGGGTGGAGGTCAGGGAGGGCCCTGGCCTGGAAAGGCGGGGTGGAGGTCAGGGAGGGCCCCGGAAAGGCGGGGTGGAGGTCAGGGAGGGCCCCGGAAAGGCGGGGTGGAGGTCAGGGAGGGCCCCGGAAAGGCGGGGTGGAGGTCAGGGAGGGCCCTGGAAAGGCGGGGTGGAGGTCAGGGAGGGCCCTGGAAAGGCGGGGTGGAGGTCAGGGAGGGCCCTGGAAAGGCGGGGTGGAGGTCAGGGAGGGCCCTGGAAAGGCGGGGTGGAGGTCAGGGAGGGCCCCCGGAAAGGCGGGGTGGAGGTCAGGGAGGGCCCCCGGAAAGGCGGGGTGGAGGTCAGGGAGGGCCCTGGAAAGGCGGGGTGGAGGTCAGGGAGGCCCCGGAAAGGCGGGGTGGAGGTCAGGGAGGGCCCCGGAAAGGCGGGGTGGAGGTCAGGGAGGGCCCCGGAAAGGCGGGGTGGAGGTCAAGGAGGGCCCTGGAAAGGCGGGGTGGAGGTCAGGGAGGCCCCCGGAAAGGCGGGGTGGAGGTCAGGGAGGGCCCCGGAAAGGCGGGGTGGAGGTCGGAGGGCCCTCCGAAGGGCAAGGCGTGGTGGAGCTCGAGGAGCCTGGAGGCTGAGTGTCCTGTGCTGTGTCTGCGGACACCAAGCCCAGGGGCCTAGCGCTGACCCGGGGCGGGGAGAGCAGGGAATGCGTCTCCAAGGAAGCCAGTTCTTAGCCCTTCCTGTGGAGGGGGTCCCAGGAGGGTGCAGTCACCTTGATGACACTTTTCTCACATCCCCGGCTGGGCCACTCAGCACAGGCACAGTGCAGGGTCCTCTGTCCCCTCGCCGCAGTCCCGGGGCCTCCTGTGTTCCCTCTCCCCAGCTCAGGGAACCCCAGGGGCACCTGTGGGCGGAACCCCAGGACACATCGTTGCTGTTTGTTTATCCTTCTTGTCCCCAGGGCCCACCCAGGCTCTGCTCCAAGTAGGCCCCTGGCGGTGAGCCAAGGTCCTCCGGCGTTGGGGTGAAGCAACAAGAGACCGCTGGAGCCTGAGGGGTCCAGGCAGGAGGGGTGCCCTTGCCCCCTACCCCCACTGGGAGGATGAGCTCAATCTTCAGGGGTGGTGGGAGCACCCTTGGGGGGAAGTACCGCAGAGACCTGGGTGCTGGCTGAGCTGGCACCACAGATCTGTCCCAGGCTGGGGTGCCCTTCCGACTCGAGCCCAGACAGCAGGTCCAGGGGGCAGTGGGTCCAGAAGGTCACCCTCTCCCTGCTGCTCTGCAGGAGTGTAGTCGGCTCCAGGCTGCTCTGAGACTTGTTACGCAGACAGCCGCCTGGGGGTGGAGGAGGCGGTCTGGAAGGGCACAGGTTCTGTGCTAGCCGGCCTGGGCTCTGCGCGGGGGGCCGCCCCGCAGGGAAGGGCTGTGTCTGCCCTTGGATGCTGACTTCGAGGCTGCTTCAGGGCCAGCGTCTGCATGTGGGCGGCAGCCTCGGCGCGTCTGCCCCTGTGCCCGCTCGCTGTGGGCTTGTTGGGGAAGCACCAGGAGCCCTGGTCCAGCGTGGGCCCAGGCAAGCGCAGCCTCACCCAGCAGCCTCTTCCTCTGGACACAACACACTCAGGCCCAGGGGGCTGGTGGGGAGGGAGCGGATGGAGGCGCGGCACCCTGGTGGAGCCGGTCCGGCATGGTGGTAGCTGCACTTCTGGCCCAGTGCTCTCGTCGGCCGTTTTCTCTTACGGCCCACACCCTCTGGCCTGTCCTGAGAGTCCTGGGCGTGAGGACACACTGCCCGAGGGCCGTCCTCCCTCCCGGGCACAGTGCAGTGGGAGCCCGCCGGGCTGGGGCACCGCCTGCTCTTGGAATAAGGGGCCCCTGCCTGCCGCCCATGTTTCTGGGCTCATGGGTCCAGGGCCCCTGGCTGTCTGAGGGTGGGCCGGCCACCTGCTGGCTGCACCACACGCGTGTACTGTGCGCACCGCTCAGCCGCGCCCATGCCCTGTCCTCCTGATCCTTCAGGGCTGGGCATAGTGATGAGAGACAGGGTGAATGTCCCTTTGGGCACGGGGCTCCCACAGCAGGGGTGGTGCCGAGAGCACAGGGGTCAGTAGGTGTCTGTGGCCAGAGAGGCAGCAGCTACTGTGCTCAGAGTTGAGTCGGGTGCCAGGTCCCGGACTGGGGGTGTTGACACGTCCCTCTTCTCCTGTCCTGGTGTGCTAACGAGGACGGCCTTCATGTCTCTGTGAGAGTGCAAGGAGGAGAGAGTGGGGTTCAGGGTGTGCCCCGTCCTCACCTTGCTCATCGTTCTCTTTGCAGAATGAGGGCACCCGGTTGCAGAAGGATCTCCGCACATACCTGGCCTCTGTCAAAGGTGAGGGGCAGACCTGGCCGGGCATGCCGGACCTCACGGTGCAGAGAGGGGCCTTCTCGTGTGGAGGGTGCACAGAGCCGGGGAGGGCGCGGGGTCTGCGGGGGCGGGGCAGGCCTCTGGGCCCCATCTCGGGCCCCGCGGCCCTGCTGCAGCATGGTCCCTCTGCCTCACAGCCATGCACGAGGCCTCCAAGAAGCTGAACGAGTGTCTGCAGGAGGTGTACGAACCGGACTGGCCCGGCAGGGACGAAGCGAGTAAGATCGCGGAGGTGAGTGGCAGGGGCTCAGCCCTCCCACAGGGTGCTGCTGGACTCAGCTGCTGGCCCATTTTACAGATGAAGAAACTGAGGTTTCGAGAAGCCACCGAGCTTTGAAGTGATGGGGCGAGAGCGGCAGGCGGGGTGGCTGGCGGTCCTGTGCTCACGGCTGTTTTCTCCTTCAGAACAATGACCTGCTCTGGATGGATTACCACCAGAAACTGGTGGACCAGGCGCTGCTGACCATGGACACGTACCTGGGCCAGTTCCCCGATATCAAGGTGAGCGGCTGCGTCGCTCTGGCAGCTGGTGCCGGGAGCCAGGAGAGGGCCTGGGTGGGGGCAGTCCAGGGCTGGCTCCGGCACGGCGGACACTGTCCCGAAGGCGGGCACATCCTTCACTGAGCACTTCCTCCCTCCAGGGTGCTCCTGCGAGGCCAGCCTGCCAGCCCCCAGGCTTGGGCCTTTCTGAGCAGGAAGTATGGGGCTCTGTAGCTCTGGGTCTCAGCTAGGGGAGGTGACCCACGGTGTGTCCGTGTGTGTGGCCCTGTCACTGTGGACTCTGTAGGATTGTAGATGTATCAAGGGGGTGTCTGGCCTGGGCTTTGTGTCTCCAGGTGCCTTGTGCTAGGCTGCGTGGATACATGTGCGTGCATCACCCCTCACCGGGGTGTGTTTGTGTGGCTGTATGTTCGAAAGGCCAGCTGCCTGTGCTGGGCCTGCAGCTCTCCAGCACGGCCAGAGGCGTCTGCAGCCCGGTGGTGGCCATCATGCTGGACCTGGTCCCCGGGTCATGATCCACGCTGGCCCCCTCGCCACCCCTGCAGATGCCTCTGGTTCCCAAAGGCGTCTTGGGTGTGCGGGAGGGCTGATGGTGGTGGACAAGAAAGCCTTTGGTCCAGAAGGCACAGCAAGGATCGGAGGGCCAGGCGGGGCGAGAGGCCCCTCTGAAACAGCACTGGCTGGTGGACACCGACAAATTGGTCAATATCTGCAAGGCACTGGTTTGACCTCTGTGTGAGAAAGGACCCCAGGGCACAGAATGCTTTGAAGAAGCGAGATCTTCGTCACCGGAAATGTTTGAGCAACGGTGCCTCAGGCAGGCCTTAAACACTTGCTGAGCCCGGGGTCTGTGGCATGGGCTCTGTGGTTTCATCCGGTCCCCGTCCTTCGGGGCCCAGGGGCCAGCGTCAGGCAGGCTGTTTGCCAGGCTCTGTCCAGCTCTCCCCCTCTGTCCGCAGTCGCGCATCGCCAAGCGGGGCCGGAAGCTGGTGGACTATGACAGCGCCAGGCACCATTATGCGTCCCTGCAGACCGCCAAGAAGAAGGACGACACCAAGATCGCCAAGGTGAGGGCTAGGCAGTGCAGGGGGCACAGCGGGGGAGGGCTGGACAGGGCAGGGGGCACAGCGGGGGAGGGCTGGACAGGGCAGGGGGCACAGCGGGGGAGGGCTGGGCAGGGCAGGGGGCACAGCGGGGGAGGGCTGGGCAGGGCAGGGGGCACAGCGGGGGAGGGCTGGGCAGGGCAGGGGGCACAGCGGGGGAGGGCTGGGCAGGGCAGGGGGCACAGCGGGGGAGGGCAGGGCAGGGCAGGGGGCACAGCGGGGGAGGGCTGGGCAGTGCAGGGGGCACAGCGGGGGAGGGCTGGGCAGTGCAGGGGGCACATCGGGGGAGGGCACGTGTGGGCAGGGGCACAGCGGGGGAGGGCACGGGTGGGCAGGGGGCACAGCGGGGGAGGGCACGTGTGGGCAGGGGGCACAGCGGGGGAGGGCTGGGCAGTGCAGGGGGCACAGCGGGGGAGGGCACAGGTGGGCAGGGGCACAGCGGGGGAGGGCACGGGTGGGCAGGGGCACAGCGGGGGAGGGTACGGGTGGGCAGGGGCACAGCGGGGGAGGGCACGGGTGGGCAGGGGCACAGCGGGGGAGGGCTGGGCAGTGCAGGGGCACAGCGGGGGAGGGTACGTGTGGGCAGGGGCACAGCGGGGGAGGGCACGGGTGGGCAGGGGCACAGCGGGGGAGGGCACGTGTGGGCAGGGGCACAGCGGGGGAGGGCAGGTGTGGGCAGGGGGCACAGCGGGGGAGGGCTGGGCAGTGCAGGGGGCACAGCGGGGGAGGGCAGGTGTGGGCAGGGGGCACAGCGGGGGAGGGCTGGGCAGTGCAGGGGGCACAGCGGGGGAGGGCACGTGTGGGCAGGGGGCACAGCGGGGGAGGGCTGGGCAGTGCAGGGGGCACAGCGGGGGAGGGCACGGGTGGGCAGCGGCACAGCGGGGGAGGGTTGGGCAGTGCAGGGGGCACAGCGGGGGAGGGCACAGGTGGGCAGGGGCACAGCGGGGGAGGGTTGGGCAGTGCAGGGGGCACAGCGGGGGAGGGCACGGGTGGGCAGGCCCAAGGAGCCTCCCTCTTGGGCTGCTCTCGCCTGCCCCTGGCACCCGGCTGGAGGCTCCTGGGGCTAAGCACCCTCCAACCCCTGTGGAGGAGTTTGCACGTGTGACTAGAACCGGGTCCCAGAGCTGGGGTGGTGAGGGCCCCTCGGGCTCATTCCGTGGTGCCCGTCCTGGCCCCTGGCCCCTCCTCTTACTCTGAGGCCACTTTCCGGAGGACAGGCCTCGCCCTGCCTGGGTGTCTGAGTGGAGCCCATCGCAGATCCGACGGGACCCCGCCTCCGCAGCAACAAGCAAGGGGTGGGGTGGGTGGGGGGTGAGTTTAGGGGGAGGTGTGAGTGGGCGGGGAAGCCCGGGACTCGGGCTGCCACAGCCTCCACCGAGCTCTGAGGGTGTACCCCACTCCAGGGCAGGGTTCTGCTTGCTCAGCCCCTCCACCCCTGCTAACAATTCTCACATTTTGCTTTGCAGTTGGAATTCACCCCCTTCTGCGCCCTGCTGGGGGCTCCCCTTAATTCTCTCAGCCTGCTGAGGGGCTGGATCCCTGGAGGGGCAACCAGCTTGTCTCTTAGCGCCTTCCAGACGTGTGGACCTGGTGTTTAATATCTGTGTCTCTGTTTCTCTCCCCATCTCCGTCCCGTCTCTCCTCTCTCCTTCACCTTGACCTCCCTGTCCCCAGCCTGTCTCGCTGCTTGAGAAAGCCGCCCCCCAGTGGTGCCAAGGCAAACTGCAGGCTCATCTCGTAGCTCAGACTAACCTGCTCCGAAATCAGGTGACCCTGGCTTCTAACCTTGCACGTGCTGGCTGGCGCCTTCGGGTCTGTGGCCCTGTCCTTGCGGCTCTGTGGGCTGGGGCGGGCCTTTCCAAATGCCTGTGCCGGAGCTCCTGCCCAAGGTGCAGCCTGAGCTTGGGCATGGACAGAGAGGCTGGGCTCCGGTTGGCCTGGTGGGCTCGGGCGGTGCTGAGCGTCCGGGTCTCTGGTCGTCCTGAGACTCTGCAATCCTAGCATCCAGAAGGTCAGGACAGCTTGGGGCCCTTTGTCCTCTGTGAGGACTCCTGCAGGGAGGGACATGATGTCACTAGGGCTGCCGTCCTGACCGGTGGTCTTCAAGCCTCATGAGAACCATGGGGTGACTCTGAATTTTCTGAGGGGACAGACCTGCAGAGGCAAACGCCCCTGCCCAGGGTCCCGGGGTCCCAGTGGCTGAGTTGGGGCTCACAGGATTCAAGGCCTGGGCCCTTTTCCGAGTTCCCTGGCCCGGGGCTCCATGTGGGTGGTCCTGCCGCAGGTGGCCAGACTCATGGGGGCCTTTGGGACCTGTGGGCCCCCATGGCGCCCCTGGAGGGGACACTGGTCAGTCTGGCTGACACGCTGAGACCTGGGGCTGGCCCTCTGGGATTTTCACGGAGGACAGTCTGTGCCACGTGGGCACGAGGCTTCCTGCAGTAGGTCTTGATACAGAACTCCAAAATGATGCTCCCACCTGGCCGTGCTCCCCTCTTCTCAATCCCTGCTCTGGGAGGGGCTCCGTGTGCCAGGGGCCGCTCTGCCCTCGAGGTGGCCTTGAGGTTTTCTCTCAGTGAGACTGACATGACCTGGGACCCCTCATGGTCTGGGGTGGGGGCAGGCAACAGGCCCAGCCCAGAAGGTCGGGTTTCTCTCTGGGCAGTGGCTCTGTTTTTTCTGGGCCAGCTGCTTTCATCATCCTGAGCCCACGTGTCCTGAATGCCTGGCCGAGAGCTGAGGGTCAGCCTGGGCTTGTGCCCACTGCCTTCCTGGACCTGCTGCCTAACTTCTCGCAGGCCAAAGCGATGGGCTGGTTTTGGAGCAGTGGTTCTCAACCTTCTGAACGCCGCGACCCTTTAATACAGTTCCTCGTGTTGTGGTGACCCCCAACCATAGAATTATTTTTGTTGCTGCTTCATAACTGTCATTTTGCTACTGTTATGAATTGCCATTGGAAATATGTGTTTTCTGATGGTCTTCGGTGACCCCTGTGAAAGGGTCATTCGACCCCCAAAGGGGTTGCGACCCACAGGTTGAGAACCGCTGTTTTGGAGGGTAAGATGCCCAGGATCTGCACAGTCTGAGGGAGGTGACCCAGGGGGTCTTTGATGGGCCTCTGTCTCTTCTGCCACAGGAGTGGGCCTGTGCGGAGCTCAGGACCCTGGCTGAGGGGGGCTGGGCCCGCGACCCAGAGACAGGGTTTCTGTGTAGTTTTCCTGAACCAGGTTGGGCAGAAGTGGCCCCTGAGATACGGTGGGGCCTTCGGTGAGGCCTTTGGCCTCCCGGGACGGGTGTGGCTGGGACCCTGCTGGGAGGGCCCCTCACTCCAGCTCCTGGGTAGCAGCAGGGGGATCTGAAGCCGGGCTTCAACTTTGGATGTTGGACTGCAAGTATCTCACCTTCCAGCCAGTGGGCGCTCCCACTTGGAGTGGGTTTTTGTTTGAGCAAATCCTCCTTCAGCTCCCACCCTGCCTCAGGGCCTGGCGGGAGTTGGGGAGGCTTCGGGGTTCCCCTGGGTAGCTGGCTGGCTGTGAGCAGGGTACTTGGGGTCTGGGGCTGCCCAGATGGCTGACTCGACTTTGGGGAAACAGAGGACCTTGTGGGACTGTGCTGTCTTAGGCCGACCAGCCCAAGTGTGCCCTGGGCCAGAGTCCCTCCACAGCCACCGCAGGACCTGGTGCCCGGCGGCAGGGGGCAGGCCGAGATTTGGTCTGTGGCAGGGCCACCAGGATACCAGCCCCCCAGCCCCCTCCCCAAGGACAGCTCTCCCTGACCCCCTGTGGCCCAGCACTCCTCAGAGACCCAGGGTGTGAGAATGTGACTCACAGGGAATGAAAGACTGAGGCCCTGACCGTCAGGGACTCGAAAATGGAGGCTCCCTGATCTCTGCAGTGCTGCTGGGACATGGGCCCGTGCCCGGGGCACAGCAGCGTGGCTGCCATTGTCCTCCTCACGGTCACGGCCGTTTGCTGGGGGTTGGGGCCTGTGCTGTGGGATGGGGGCCCATCCTTAGCCAGAGGAAGTCTCAAGGTGCAGGTGTTAGGATGGTCAGGGTGGGCTCCTGGGGAACCTGGGGCTGCAGCCAGACCCCTGGTTTTCGGGGGGAGGCACTCATGGGGGTCCCAGGCACCTGATGGGCACCAGGTGCCCAGGCCAGACCTGCTCTGTCCAGAGTCATTTCCTTTCCCCCCATTCTGCCTTTAACTGTTAAAGTAAGTTTTTATAATGTAGGCAAAGAACTCAGGCCCCTCTAGCAAGTTCCAAGAACCTGGAGGTAGCTGTGGTCAGGAGAGGTGGCAGCCCCTCCGCCAGCTTCGCCCACGGTGCACAGAGGAGAGGGCCGAGCCGGGCTGCTCCTGGTGCTGGCGCTGGCGGCCAGCCTGGGGGCGGGGTTCCCGTGCTGCTGCGACTGGGGGGGTGGCTGCCTTTGCAGAGGCCCGAGGGTCAGGCAGCTGGCGGGAGGTTTCCTCCTGGTGGGGCTGCCACGATCCTGGGCTGTGACTCAGACCCAGTGCAAGTCACCCTGAGTCACTGTTCCCAGCAGTGCCCTCCAGGGGGAGCCAGCAGAGCCCTCTGGGGTGGGGTCTTCGGACTCCCCCGCCCTTGCCAGCCCTCTACCTTCAGAGGCCCTGCCTGCACCCCTGGCTCTGCCAGGGGGCCCCAGCCCTCTGCCTGGTGGAGGGGCAGCTGGGCACTGGGCCTGCCCCGGGAAGGGGAAGGCCTGAGGATGGGTCTCGGGCACCCTGCCCAGCTGCCCAACTCCATAGTCCCCGGCCCCGCCCCCATCTGAGGTGGGCAGGGACAGGAGAGGAGGGTGGGTCAGAGGAAGGTGGGGAAGAGGAGTGCAGGCTGGTGGCTGGGACGGAGCAGGACGTGGCCTTGGGAAAGGGGGCACAGAGAACTGGAGGGGACGGCAATGCCCAGAGGGCTGGCAGCAGGCTGGCACCTAGTCTCAGAGGGCTCCAGGAGGCAGGGTCCCCACATGGGTGGGTCTGGGTCTGCCCCTTCACTCTTCCTGTGTCCCAGAACCCCGGGGCCCATGGGTGCACCCTCGTGTTGTCCCCTCCTCGTCCCTGTCTTCCTCTTGGCTCGCCGGGGCAGGAGAGCAGGGTTCCCTCTGGCTGCTTCCCCCTCCCTTCCCTGGAGCAAACCCCCGAGGGCCTGGCTGCAGGGTCCAAGAGGCTGCCAGGGTGGTCTGAGCGCTGGGTGGGAGGTTGGTAGCAGGTCTCGAGGGCCTGGCCTGGGCTGGTGGGGCAGAGGCCCAGCAGGACGAGTGACTGTCCTGCCCCCAGGCCGAGGAGGAGCTCGTCAAGGCCCAGAAGGTGTTTGAGGAGATGAACGTGGACCTGCAGGAGGAGCTGCCGTCCCTGTGGAACAGGTGGGGCGGGGAGCCGGGCCGTCTGCCGGGTGCCCGTGCCCCTCAGGGCTGCGTCTCCGAGGAGGGTGGAGGTGTGTCAGCATGTGTGTGAGTCTCCTGGGTGCCCCCCCTGACCTGCGTGCGTCTTTTGTCTCCGCCCCACCCCCCCAGCCGTGTAGGTTTCTATGTCAACACGTTTCAGAGCATCGCAGGCCTGGAGGAAAACTTCCACAAGGAGATGAGTAAGGTGGGCCTTGGGGATCCCCGTGGGCCATGCCCCCTGCCCAGGGCCGGCGAGGGCCGGCGAGCTCCCTTTTCCCTGCAGGGGCTCTGCACGCGCCAGCGACCACAGCACCCCTGTGGCCCCGAGGAGCTGCCTCGCCCTGCCCTCATGGAGCTCCCCCTCAGCGTTCCCCACTCCGAGTGTCCTGCCCAGTGAGGGCCTGGCTGCAGGGTCCCCAGGAGCTGCAAGGGGTGGGGGCCCCAGGGCATGCTGGGAAGGCCCCCGCAGAGCTCGAAGGTCCAGCCCAGCCTCCCTGCTGCCCCGGTCCCACTCTACTTGGCTGAAAGACCTGGCCCATTCCAACCATAAACGTGTCCAGGCCCCATGGCCCAGGGAGCTCGGTGCCAAAAAACAGGGGTGGCTTCCCAATTTGTAGGCAAATAATAAATGCATTGCTGGAATTTTCTCAATTTTTAATGTGCTTTCCTATGTCTTAAGACATTGAAATAGGTCTGTTTGATCTGCTAGAATCTGATGTAAGAAAGGGTCTGAGTAGCTTACATGTCTGTGCTGTGTTTTCATTTTAATTTAACTGGCGATTAAACAGCAAAGCTGATTGGGAGGAACCCAGTAGCGGCCTTTCTTCCTCTGTGCCAGTGGGTGGTCTGACCCTGTCTCTGGGCCCAGGGGGCTGAGGGATGGTGGCAGATTCCTGGCCCAGGGTAGGAGGAGGGGAGAGGGGCGGGGGTCATACCTGAGTCACCACCCTGAGTGTGTTTCCCTGCCTTTTAGGCTGTCTGTCCCCTTTCGTCCTCTGCCTTTTCTTGTCAAAGACTTGAGACAGCCTAGGAACATTTGAAAAACAGAGAGAGGTGGTCTGGGGGGAAAAACATGTATGTAAAGTAGAAGGAAAATCGATCTCTGAGCTTCCTAATGGCCAAAACAAAGAGGGAAACACGTCAGTAATGAGACTTCCTGTGTGCATGGGATAGGCCTGGAAGCATCTTGGCAAAACGACCTTAAAAATTAGGATCAACAGTTCGTTTGCAGAAACAGTTTTAAAAAATGGAAGAACAGTACACATTCTCTGTGGAATTTTGGAAAATCCATCCACATAGAAGATAAAAGACGGTCTCCAGACACAGTAACTGTTAGCCAGGTACCCCACTTCCCCCGTCTCTGCCTTCAGTTTCCTGGGTGTGGTGCGCTGGCTTCCAGCCCCACTGATGGGCAAGAAGGGCAGGGACGGGCAGGGAAGGGGTCCCTGGGGGAAGCAGGGTGGCCCTGGGGAAAGCAGGTGCTTAGTGGCCCCAGAGGCCCAACCAGGTTGCCCTCCCTCCCACAGCTCAACCAGAACCTCAGCGACGTGCTGGTCGGCCTGGAGAAGCAGCATGGCAGCAACACCTTTGCGGTCAAGGCCCAGCCCAGGTGTGTGCCCACGTCCTGCAGGCTGTCGGCGGGTGTGGGGGGTGGGCCTGGGGGGCCTCCTGCAAGGCTGGGACAAGGCTTCCTGGGGTCCCAAGGGCTCGGCCTCCCTGTGCTCGGGGGAGCAGGGGAGGGCCCTGCCATTCCCTGGTCTCCCTTCAAGGAAGGAGCCTTCCTCCAGGCCTGCAGGTCCCTGAGCCTGGGCCTCACGACCTCTTCTGTGGGGCAGGAACAGCAGGGCCCCTGTGCAGCTTGGGGTGGGGGTGGGGGGGCTCACCGGTGTGGCACTTCTGGAAAGTGGGCAGTCCTCTTTGAGCAGGGGGTGGCGCCACCTGTTTCTCTTCTGCTCCCAGGAAGCCCAGTTCCCCAGAGGGGCCTGGGACTGGACGACGGTGGCCCATTCTGCACACCGCAGAGGGGTCCTTGCTCCTGCCTCTCGCCCCGCCCCGCTCCTCCTCTTGGCCCCCAGACAGGTTCCTGAGGGACAAGAGGTGGGAGGAGGGGAACGGTTCGCCTCTGTCTGCGGCTCCTGGAAGCAAGAGCGAGCCTGGGGTTTTCCTTCCTTCCCTGCCCTCGCCGCAGTGTGGGGAACACCAGGAACCTTACTTTCCTGTCTATAGAATGGGCGGATGTGTCTGCTTCTTGGGTGACTGGGGGTGCCTAGGGCTCAGGAGGCATTCTCCCCTGAGAATAACACACATGTATGTGACCAGGGCTAGGGGAGCTGGGGGCGCCGTGGGGTGGAGTAAAGGCCAAAGGCAGTTTCCCAGGTCACTGGCACCGCCTGGCCAGGTTGGGGGGATGGCGAGTGGTGGCCACGGGGCAGTGCATGCTCAGGGGAAGGGGCTGGTCCTTCTTAGGGGAGAGGGGGGACAGGGAGGTTGTGAGCCTTCACCACGGGGAGCCCAGGGCCCCATACTGGCCAGCTGACCCCCCTTCTTCTGACTCTCTGGGCCCCTGGAGCGCTCATGGGCTGGACCCCAGCCTGTGTCCTGCAGCTCTCCAGGCTGTTTTGGGGTCAGCCCCCTGTTCTGCTCGTCTTGTCGGTACCACCCCAGCGTACCCGCTAGTATGTCGAGGCCGGTGGAAACTGGGACTGGACAATGGTGGCCTAAGGGCAGGTCAGGCCTTCTCCATGGCCCCCGGGTATTAGGGAGACTTTGCCTCTTTGTTAGGGGTTGTACTGAAGGGTGGGGACAGGCCAGCCCACGTCCAGCATTTCCCCCATATGAAGGCCGCGTTGCACCCATCCCCACAGAAAGAAAACCAAACTGTTCTCTCGACTGCGTGGGAAGAAGAGCAGGTACCAGCAGTGAGTGCTGAAGTGTGGGGCGCCCTGGTCCGCCCCTCAGCTGGGGCTCCGTGCATGCGCCTCATGCCCTGCAGAGGGCGCCACTAACCCTAACCTGCCTTTCTGTGTGTGCTGCTGCCCTCGGCCCGAGCTGCGCTATGTGCGGCCGGGACCAGGTGGAGGGTCCGGGGGTGGCGGGCAGACAGCCGGAGCTGGTGTAGCACCTCCCTCTGCAGAACCACGGTGCCCTGCTGCGGCCAGGCGGGAGCACTAACAGGTGGAAAGTGTCACCAGAAAGGAGGCGGGGGGGGGGGGGCACAGGGCAGGGCAGCCTCACGTGGTGTGCGGCTGTGTCCTCGTCTGTATTTCAGGGAGGCAAGTGCGCCCATGAAACACACTTGTGAAGGTGGAAAGGACCGTGTCTCACACGTCTGACCTGCCATCTAGCCCCCCATGACTCGGTTACTCGTTTCTTTGTATTCTTCCAGACCCACCCTGTCTGCCACGGTGGCCACTCACACTGTGGCCGGCCAGCGTGATGGCGGGGCTGTGTCATTTAATTCAATATCAATATAGATGTGAACAGCCGCCTATGGCTGGCAGCTGGTCTTGGGCTGTTCATTTCTGCCCTCTTCGCGCCCAGGTGGGGGCTTGGGCACGTGTTCGCCTGGTTCTCGGGACGAAACCACATGGCCGAGAGGCTTCACCGCCACCCCAGCTCCCGGGCGCTGACACTGCCCTTCGCTCTCCCCTCGGCCACGGCCTGCTTTCCTGTGCCCTGGGCGGGCCTGTGGGAGCCGAGGGCTAGATGGTGGTGGCGTGGTGTGGACGGGAGCATGGTGTGGACGGGAGCCGGGCGTGCTGGGCATTGCGTTGTGAGGGGTGGGCAGGCGGGAGGCGGCCGAAGGCCTTTGGGGTCAGGCTACAGCGGGGCCCTGCGGAGCCCAGGGGCTGCTGTGTGGCGTGTGGGGTGAGACTGACTTTGCCTCTAGGATGTCTGGCTTTCTCCTTCTGGGGAGCGTGGGCCGTCAGCAGGCCAGCCTGATGCCAGCTGGTGAGGCCCCTGGCTGCCAGGTGCTGGCTCCCGGGACACCCCCCCCCCCCCCGGGACCACAGGCCTCCAGCTCTGAGCCTGCCACGGGCTGCTCAGTCCTCAGGCACACAGACACGCAGTGTCACCATGAGGACGTCACGTTTTCCTAGAGGGTCCGTGTGCATACACATCACACGCAGTGTCACACGTGAAGACGTGTCTTCCCAGAGGGTTCATGTGCACACACGTTACATGCAGTGTCACACGTGAAGACGTCATGTCTTCCCAGGGGGTCTGTGTGCACACACAGCGAACTCAGTGTCACACGTGAGGACATCATACCTTCCCAGAGGGTCTGTGTGCACACACATCACATGCAGTGTCACACAGGATGCCACATATTCCTAGAGGGTTCATGTGTCCACATGTCACACTCAATTTCACACACTGCACTACATGCTCCTACACACACACGTTCTCATCGCACAGACCCCAGGCACCTGTGGCATACACACCCTACACACCTGTGGGCACAGACCCTTATATGCACCTGTGACGCACACACCCTTACACACCTGTGGCATACACCCTTACACACTTGTGGCACACACACCCTTACACACCTGTGGGTGCACACACCCTTACACACCTGCGGCACACACACCCTTACACACTTGTGGCACACACACCCTTACACACCCGTGGGCGCACACACCCTTACACACCTGCGGCACACGCACCCTTACACACCTGTGACGCACACACCCTTACACACCTGCGACACACACACCCTTACACACTTGTGGCACACACACCCTTACACGCACCTGTGGGCACACACCCTGGACACACCTGTGGATTTGCATGTCTCCCCCCAGCCGCCGGCCCTCTCTCCATGGGCCACCTTGTCTTGCCTCCACAGTGACAACGCCCCTGCGAAAGGGGACAAGAGCCCTTCACCTCCACCGAACGGCTCCCCGGCTGCCACCCCGGAGATCAGAGTCAACCATGAGCCCGAACCAGCCAGTGTGGCCTCCCCTGGGGCTGCCCTCCCCAAGTCCCCTTCTCAGGTAGGCTCTGTCGCTAGGTGGCTTGTCCCCTCCTCTGCTTTTCTTCCTGCTTTGCTGTCATCTCCACTTTTTCCTGTCTCTGTTTCCTGCCGGGCCGGAACAGGTTGGAACCAGAGGCTTTTCCCAGAGGGTGAGCCTGGCATTGTTCTCCCTAGAACCCTGCCCGGCCTGGGCACACCTGAACGGCCCTGGTGACTGTTTCTGTCCTCGGTGTCCCCACCCCCTGCAGCGCCCCCTCCTTTCCCACCCAGGGCCCCGGAGGCAGCTGCGCCCCGACCTCCCCTTCTCGCTGCTGCGCGGGCCAGGCAGGGCCTTTGGAAGGACAGCCAGAGAAGGTGCTCAGGGGGGGTCAGGCCAGGTGGGCCAGGGGGACAGGCCCCTGCTGGGCTCCTGGCTTGTGCAGAGTCCCACAAGCTGGAGGGAAGGAGGTGGCGCAGTGGGGACCTCGCTGCGCCCTGCTGGGCCAGCCCCAGCCTCCTGCTCGGGCGGCAGCTCTGCTCTCTGACAGCTGGTCAGGGTCAGGACAGGGTCCGGGCCGTGTCCTGTGCGGCACTTTCCACGTGTCACTCACTGGATCCCGACAGTCACCCTGAGAGGCAGATGCTGTCAGCCCAGCTTGGCACATGGAGACCCGGGTTGCAGTGTGCTGGTGACCTGCCTGAGGCCCCCAAATGGGCAGGTGTGTGACCGTCTCTGTAGGCCTCTGCCAGGCCCTGGCTCTGCACTGGTCCCACAGGGGACAGCAGGGGCGGAGCTGGAGCTCCTGGGGCTGATGTGGAGAGAGCCTGGGTATGCCAGCGGAAGGAGGCCAGAGAGGGGGCAGGAAACGGGCAGGAGGGGGGCCGGAGGGGGGCAGGAGAGGACCTGGAAGAGGGGTGAGAAAGGGGCCGGAGAGGGGGCGGGAGAGGGCAGGCTCCTCTCAGCGACTGTTCCTTAGCCCTCTCACCAGGCGAGCCCTCCTATGGCCACCCCCCCCTTCTTTCCTTCTTTCTCTTTGTAGCGTCTCTGGACTCCGCTCTGGGAGGGTGGCCGTGGTTCTGTCTTGGGGCACTGACTCCTCGTTTTTTTTTCCTCCATTGCCTGCTGGGGCCGTGGCCTGCGTGTGACTAACCTTGGCTTTGTCTCTGTCTCCTCCTGACCTCCACGCCGGGCTGGGCTCTCCATGGCCCTCACCCATGGTCGGCCCACAGCTCCGGAAAGGCCCACCCGTCCCTCCGCCTCCCAAACACACTCCATCCAAGGAGCTCAAGCAGGAGCAGATCCTCAGCCTGTTTGACGACACCTTTGTCCCCGAGATCAGCGTGACCACCCCCTCCCAGGTCAGCTGCGGCCACCGCGGCCCAGCCCTCACTTTCTCCTGCTCTCGGGGCTGCATGGCCTTTCCTCCGTCTCACACTGTCTTCTCTGCCAAGAGCCGGGACTTTGGCCAGAGAGACGGGCCCTAAGCCCTCTCCTACTCATTCATCCATCATCCTTTCATCTATCACCCCCATCCACCGCCCCATCCACCTCCCCATCCACCTCCCCATCCACCGCCCCATCCACCGCCCCATCCACCTCCCCATCCACCTCCCCATCCACCTCCCCATCCACCTCTCCATCCACCTCCCCATCCACCTCCCCATCCACCTCTCCATCCACCTCTCTATCCACCACCCCCATCCCTCGGCCCATCCACCGCCCCATCCTCCGCCCCATCCACCGCCCCATCCATCACCCCATCCATCGCCCCCATCCATTGCCCCATCCATCAGCCCATCCATCACCCCATCTATCACTTCATCCATCCATTGCTGAGCATGTACTGTGGCCAGATGCAGGGACATAGGCGAACAGTCTGAGCAGAGATGGTCATTCTCTGTGTCCTGGTCCTCCTGATGCTGTGGCTGGAAGGGGTGGGGAGCATGGAGAACTGGGCTGGTAAGGGGAGGCTTCCTGGAGCAAGTGACAGTGGCCAAGGGGCTACAAGCAGAGAGTGGCTTTTGCATGGTCCAGGAGGGTGAGAGACAGCTCAGGAGCTCCTGGAGGTCAGTGAGCTCATGAATGTCCGAAGAAGGTGTGAAGGCCGTTCACAGATGGACAGGAGGCCAAGCAGGAGGCTTGCTGTGACTGCACTGGGCCAGCTGCCCACAGGGCACTGCAGAGGCCACTGGGTCAGGGTGGTGCAGGGCAGTGCAGAGGTCGTTGGGTCAGGGCAGTGCAGGGCAGTGCAGAGGTGCCCAGGTCAGAGTGGTGCAGAGGCCACAGTGTCACTGCTCCAAGCCTGGTTTCCAGGCCTCCTGCTGGGCCCTGTCCACGAGAGGCTGGTCTCTGGTGTGGACCAGTAACCCCAGGCTGGGGGGGAGGCGTGTGGGGCTGCCTTGATGGGGTGCCCCTGCCTGGGGTGCTCTGGGCTCTGACGCAGGCCTGGAGGGAGGGACAGAGCCCAAAGGTGTCATGTGCAGGGAGAAGGGGATGGGTCTGAGGACAGTGGTCTCTGCGAGAAGGGATCTCAGGGCGAGTGGGCTTTCAGCCCCCAGGGAGGACTTTGGGTCAGCAGTAGGAACTTCTAGTGTGGGGTGATAAGTGGGTGCAGGGTGATGCCCTGGCCCAGGGGCCCCAGAGGCAGGGGAGCCTGTCTGTACAAGGTGGCCGACGCTGGCCTGGGGCGTTCCCGAAGCGGGTGGTGACCCTCCAGGGCAGCTGGCAGCTGAGCATGGCCCGGCTGACCGAGCACTGCTGAGCCCGCCCAGGGCCTTGTGCCAGCCTGCGGGCCTCACCTGTAGCCAGGCCACCTGCCCGGAGCGAGTCCATCTCCGTACCGTGCCCCCTGCTCACTGCAGGGGTGGTGTCTACCCGCGGGGGTGGGGTTGCACGCTGTGGGTGCTGTTGCCTGAGGCTGGGGTGGGCCGGTCCTCATCCACAGAGCTGTGCCCACGGGCTGTGGTGAGTAGCGTGCACCCCTGTGCCAAGGACAGTCCTGGCCCTACCTGGTGGGGTGCTGGTCTGCTGGAAAGTGGGGCCGGGAGGACCTGGTCTGCCCTCTGCCGGGTGACTGTCCACTCGGAGCATGAGTGGCGGTTGTCTGGGCCTGACGACGCCTGAGAAAGGGCCGGTGTGGGGCTCGGGGGAGAGAAATGCTTCTAGCAGGCTGGTGGGAGGGCCCTGGAGGCTCCGACGAGGGTGTCCCGAGCATGCGCCCTGAGAGACAGGGTTACGGGAACAGAGCAGCAGTCTCTCCCCCAGCTCAGGGGGCAGGGTTCGGTCTGAAGGCAAAGTCAGGGGCTGGGACAAGCCTGGGCTGGGGCCTCCTGCCCAGGAAGGGAGTCTCTGTGGCCTGGGCCCTCTTGGCTCTGCATGGATGTCCTATCCCCTAAGCTGTGGGAAGGGGGCACCAAGTGTTTCAGGCCTGGTGGTCTTGGGTCTGTCCTGACAGGCCACATCTCAGTTGAGCCACCTACTCTGGGGAGCCCCTCCCCACACTCCCAGGTCTTGGGTCCTTCATGGGGGGTGTGGGGGGACAAGGGCTGGAGGGCGTACTGTGTTAGTGCTGGGTACCCATCAGGGGCAAGTGCAGATGGGCTGGTCTGGGCTTCTGGGGCTACAGCCTCCCAAGACTGCACGAGGTCGAGGAGGAGGCCTGGGCGGGCCAGCTGCCTCTCTGACTCCAGAGGGAGTCCCTTGTGCAGACGGAGGCCTCTCCTCCCAGGAGGGTCCATCCTCCCCGCTGTCTGGGCCGAGCTGGCTGTACTGTGCAGGCGGTTCTGGGACAGACCCTCTTCTCCACGCCGTGCAGCCGCTCACAGGGGGCCGGCTCTCCCGTCTCCAGGGCTGTGCCTGTCCCTGAGCTGCACCCAGACCACTGGATGGCGACCTCAGGGGTGGCTGGGGTGGGATCTTCCGTTTGGAACAGGTGCACAGGTGGTCCCCACCTTGATTGGTGCCTAGGCAGCAGGGCTGGCTCAGCCCTGTGCTCGCTTCCTTGGGCTGGCTGGTGGGGGTTGTCATCACAGGGTGGATTGTCCGTGCGGGGCGGCCAGGGGAGGCCAGAGACTGTCCTAGGGGCCAGGGTACCAAGCGTGGTCTTGTCCAGCCTGGTCTGTTGTCTGTGCTTCTTCTGGGGGGCATGGTGAGGTCTCGAGAGGCTGTGGTGCGGGAGCCGCCAGGCACGGCCCATCTGCCCGCCTGCAGGGCGGAGCCCACCAAGAGCGGGGGCTGGGCATGGAGCTGGCGCATAGCTGGCCTGTTCCGGAGGCTGGGGGGTGCTGGGCTGGGTGGGGAGGGCGCCAGGGCGCTGGCGAGGACGGCTCTCCTCGTGGCCCCTGGGCGCGGGCGTTCGCGGTGTCCCCGTGCGCTTTCTTCCTGTCGCTCACTCCTTCCTCTCTGCCATCCGCCAAGTTCGAGGCCCCTGGGCCTTTCTCAGAGCAGGCCAGCCTGCTGGACCTGGACTTTGACCCCCTCCCGCCGGTGTCGAGCCCCGTGAAGGCACCCACGCCCTCCGGTCAGGTTGGTCTGGGTCTGCCACCACTTATGGGCCCACCGACTTGGGGCCCTGGGCCCTGGGCTCATGTTTGCCCACTCGGGTGTGGGCCCTGTAGGTCCCAGCCTTTGGGGTCCTGGGGTCGCCGGGCTCTTCTCCCACTCCCACTCTGGCCCCTGGCCCCTGACACCTCTCCAGTCCTGACCACGGGGGAAGGGAAGAGAGCAGACAGGCTGGCAAGAGGCCCTCCGAGGAGGGTCAGCTAAAGTCCCTCCTGGCCGTGTGCCGTCCATCCCGTGCCCGGCGCCTCTCCCAGCAGCAGCCCTGTGTCTGGGTACTTGCTGACCTGAGGTCATAGCCCCCTGAGAGGCACTCAGGTCTCAGCCCTCTGGGGACCCCAGCTGGGCTGCCCTAAGCCTGCTGGCTCGAGGGCCCTGGGTGGGCATGGGGTGGGGGTTCACTGGGGACTGTGCATGCCCCCTGCTAACTAACCTCTGTGCTAAATCTCCTTCTCCCTCTGCTGCGCTCAGCCAATCCCGTGGGACCTGTGGGAGGTAAGCGCTCGCTCTGGGCCTGTCCTGGGCCTCCTCTGGGGGTGCTGGGCCCACCCCCCCATCCCCGCACCTGGCCGCTCCCAGGGCCACTGCAGCTGCCGGGCTCCCGCTGTTCTGCTCCCCTCTGTGGAGGCGCCCTGTCCCCCGCCAGGCCCTGTGGTTTAGCTGGAGAAAGGTTCCTTCTCCATGTGGCCGGTTGTCAGGGTCTGCGAGCGTTCCTAGACGGTGACAGCTGCTCGCCCAAGATGGACGTGATGTCTTTATGCGGAGCTGACTTACAGCCAGGGGGCCTTGGGGCGGAGGGGCCCTGCCCTCGAGGAGCCGCACGGGGCGGTGGCACTGGGAGGCTTTGGGGGTGCGCGAAGGGCAGGCTGAGTGTTCATGGCTCAGCGCTCCGACCGGGAGCTGTGGGGCAGTGAGGCTGCATCTGCAGGGGCCTGGGGTGGGCAGAGCCATTCCGATGAGCAGATTTGCGTGGGTGCTCTGGTGCGGGGCGTTCCCGCTGGCCTGTCCCTGGCGGTGGCAGGATCCAGAAAGTGGAAGGAGGTGTCCCTTCAGGGGTCTGCGTCTGTCCCCACTGGGCTCTGGCTGGGCGGTGGCCACAGGCACCACACTCTCCTCTGCCAGCGTGGTGGCTCATGCCTGTCTCTGTCTCGTCCCGCCCGCCACCTCCCCCACCTCCCACCCCCCCACCTGTCGCCCTGGTGGCCGTCGCCAGTCCACAGAGAGTCCGGCTGGCAGCCTACCTTCCAGGGAGCCCAGCGCTGCCGAGGGCACCTTTGCTGTGGCCTGGCCCAGCCAGACGGCCGCGCCGGGGCCTGCCCAAGTAAGTGCCCACCTGCCAGCACCTGTCTGTGCCGGCTCTGCGGTGCAGCGTGGAGACGACCCCAGAGGGGGGAGCACGGGGTGGACAAGGCCACTGTGAGCCTGAGGGTGGGGCCGGGGCCGGGGCGGCGGCTTCAGGATGGCGCTTGTCACTCGTGCTCGCGGTGAGGGGGTCAGATCAGCCCCTCCACCAGCCTCCCTCCCGCCGCGCCTCTCTGTGGGGGAGGACCATGTAGAGCGCCCTCTGGTGTATGGTGAGCACTTTTCAGAATTTTCTTACATAACCTTCACCCTGCTGTGAGATTCCTCCTCCTTCGAGCCAGGAAGGTGAGGGATTCTCCCGCAGCTCTGAGTGGCCGAGTGTGTTCACCGGGGACCTGGCCCGGCCGGTGGCATCTGCGTGGCCTCGCCCGGCCCTCCCGTGCTGCCCTCTGTGCTGCATCCGCTCTGGGAGCAGCCTGTGAGGGCCAGTGGGCCAGGCAGGTTCCAGGAAGCTGAGGTTGGGCCCCGATCTCGGGCTTGGGGGTGGGCCTTGCACAGGGGTCTGGGGTGCCAGCACCTTCTCCAGCAGACCCCCATGCCCAGGACCTCATCTTTCCTTCAGGGGCTCCCTGTGCTGTGCAGAGACACGGGCCAACTCGAGGCGCCGCTCGGGTGCTGCCCTCCGTGGCCCCTTTCCTGCCCGGGCGGTGGCGCCCTGGCCCGGGTCTGACCCCACGCCGGCATTTATGTTGCAGCCTGCAGAGGCCTCCGAGGTGGCGGGTGGGGCCCAGCCTGCAGCCGGAGCCCAGGAGCCCGGGGAGACGGCAGCCAGGGACGCGGCTCCTGTAAGACTCAGGGACCAGGGCCCTGTCGTTCTTGTCGGGTGCCCGCCTGCCTGCCCAGCGCTGTGCCGCCCGTTGTCCTTGCTCTGCCCGGGTCGCGGTTCCTGCTGGAGACGAGGAGGCTGGGCCGGCCCAGGCTCAGACACCCCTCTCCCGCCTGCCGCGGGCTTTGCGGACCGTCCGGCTCAGGCTGACTGTGCTCCCTCCCCAGAGCTCCCTGCCTGCTGTGGTGGCGGAGACCTTCCCGGCCGCTGTGAACGGCACCGTGGAGGGCGGCAGCGGGGCCGTGCGCTTGGACCTGCCCCCGGGGTTCATGTTCAAGGTGAGCCCAGCCACTGACCCCACCGCTGACTGCCACTGTCTGGTGGTGTCCTGGAGGTGGCTCCCCCTCTATAGATGAGATCACTGAGCCCCAGAGGCTATGTGGCTGGCCCAAGTCATCCTGCTGCTACAACCCCTGGTACCTGGTCAGCGAGGTGGCATCTGTGCCCTGGTCCCGCGACTTTCACTGCTCACACACCACCTGGGACCCTGTGCAGAGTCGCCGGGGACCGAGGGCCTTTGGGGCAGAGGGCCCAGCTTTCCTCTCACCTGTGCAGGTACAAGCTCAGCACGACTACACGGCCACGGACACGGACGAGCTGCAGCTCAAGGCCGGGGACGTGGTGCTGGTGATCCCCTTCCAGAACCCCGAGGAGCAGGTGAGGCCGGCGCCCGGCTCTCCACCAGTCCGAGCCTGTGCTCCTCTCATCCTTGGCCATCCCGGCCGCCTCTCTTCCTCCCCTGTCCCTTCCCTCTGCCTTTTATCCCCTGCCCCCCTAGCTGTCCCATCCCCTCTGTTGCTGTCTCCCTGTCTGTGTCTTGTTGGACTTCTCTCACTTTCTTCCTTGAACTGTCTGCTCCTTCTTCCTGCGCCCCCCTTCCTGGGGCTCTGTCCACCTGTCTCTCAGCTTCCTGCATGTTTCTGTCTCTGCTTTTCCCTTCCTCCCAGGACCGGATCCTGGGGGTTCCTCCGTGAACCCTCCCGCCCTGCTTACTGCCTCTCAGGTGCCCGCTCTGCGGTCTCATGTGCTCCACTGGCCCTGCCTGCTGCCCCTCTGGCTGCCCTGGCACCCACGCACACAGGACCACGGGGACCGTGAGCACCCCGGCTGTGCCCCAGCTGTTCCTCACCCCACATGCCTTTCAGAAGCTCCTCCTCCTGCTGGGCTTCTCGTATATGTTTCTGAGCAGGGGGCTCTCTGTCGGCCTGGGGGGTCAGAGAGGCAGAGCTCGCTCCCGGTGGGGGTGGGCTGCTCTGCGCGTGGTGTGGCCGCAGCGGGCCTAGTGAGCCTTTGCAGGGTGTCGAGGGTGAGTCGGTGCCCACCTTGATGTCCAGGTGCATCTGCAGTGTACAGAGGTCCTGCTTAGACTGATTCATTTAGTCATCAAATCATCCATGTGCTTTAAATATTTAAAAAAATTTTTTTATTGATTTTGGAGAGAGAGGAAGGGAGAGGGAGAGAGATAGAAACATCGATGAGAGAGAACATCGATTGGCCGCCTCCTGCATGCCCCCACTGGGGATCAGGCCTACAACCTGGGCTTGTGCCCTGACTGGGAATCCAACCGGCGACCTCCTGGTGCAGGGGTTCACGCTCACCCACTGAGCCACACCTGCCGGGCCTGTCCATGTGGTTTAGTCATCACGGGGGCTGAGCGTGGAAGGAGGGCTGGGTTTGGGGTGAGACCAATTTGGGTGGGGGTCCTAGACTGGGCTTTGAGGCCCCCGGTCCTCATTGAAGCCACACTGGGCTGAGGGGTTTGAGTAACAAGGATTTTGGGCCTGAATCATCCGATTCTCCTCAACCTCCCCTCTCCTCTGATCTCCCTCATGGGCCCTGGGTGGGCGGGGTTTCCGAGGCGGAGCCTGGCCCAGGCCCACAGCTGGAGGCCCCGGGCTGACACAGTGGCTCAGATCGGACACCGTGGGTCTGCCCAGGCAGTGGTGCACAGAATGAAAGGACAGAGACTAGGAGGTCCCAGGCACAGCACGGCTGCAGGGAGTGCCGGCCTCGGCCACAGGCCAGGCTGTGGCTCCTACCGGCTCAGGGCAGGGTCTGGGGCCCGGGACGTCGCCATGACCCCTGGGAGGGGTCAGCATTCGGGTGGGCTGGCCGGGAGCCACTCTGGAATTTTTAACTGGCCAGTGCTCGGCGGAGCCTTCTGGGCTTGTTTGTGGAAGTCTGGAAACGACATCTTTGCGGCGTGTCAGATGGTGGGGTCCTCAGACCAGCGCAGCAGCCTTCCCAGACTGCAGAGGACTGGCCAGACGGCAGCTAGATCCACCCTGGCTGGTGTGGCCAGGCAGCTTAGAGCGTCGCCCGCACACTGAAGGGTCGTGGGTTTGATCCCTGGTCAAGGGCATGTACCTGGGTTACAGGTTTGATCCCTGGACTGGGTCAAAATTGTGCCCAAGGCAATGGACCGATGTGTCTCTCTCATATCAATGTTTCTCTTTCTCTCTCTTTTCCCCTTCCTCCCTCTAAAAAAAAAAATCAGTGGAAAAAATATCCTTAACAACAAAGACAAACAAGTTACATTCCTCTGCTGAAGGAAGGGCACAGGTCCTGGGGCAGTTAGGTTTGGGTCTGGGGAGATGATCAGGGAGTGCTGCCTGGAGGAGGTGTTCTTTCGGAGAGGGAGTGACAGGCTAGAGCAGGGACAAGGGGACATCTTCCTAGCAGATCTTCAGCCAGACACACGCCCTGCGGGGTCCCAGTGCCCTCCCGTCTCCTGCAGCCCGGTGCTCTGCTCCCCCAGGATGAAGGCTGGCTCATGGGGGTGAAGGAGAGCGACTGGAACCAGCACAAGGAGCTGGAGAAGTGCCAGGGCGTCTTCCCCGAGAACTTCACGGAGCGGGTGCAGTGAGGGCAGTGGCCGCGGATGGTGCAACTCTGGGTGTGTGAAGAACACCTTTTCCCGAAAAATGTGTGTGTTTTTTTTTCTTTCTGTTTTTGTTTTGAACTGTCGGAAAGCGAAGGGAATCGAGAGGAGAGGCCGGAGCCGGGAGGTGCTCTCCCAGAGGTTAGGTGGTTTTCCAAAGAGCCCGGGCTCGGCGCGTCCCTGGACCCTCCCGTGCTCCGAAGCTGCTGTGCCCCTAGTTGAGTTCCTGGCTGCCCACCCCTGCCAGCCAGCGCCTGCTGGTTGTTGCAGCTGCTTGTGTGCCCGCCCGGCGCTGGCCCGGCGCTGGCCCGGCGCGGTGGCCTGCGCTTGCCTGACGCTTTGGCTGAGCCCCTGGGCGAGGGCCTCCTCTCAGGGCAGCTGCTGTGGGTGGGCCCGGCTCTCCAGACACCCGGACCCAGGCAGCTGTCTGGCCTGGCCCTGCCCTGCAGACGTCTGTGTGATGTTTGAAAATAAACCTTAGTGTTCGAAACAAAATGAAACGAACTGACGAAAGCACTGAGTGTGTGTTCATTTTCCTCCCTGTCGGTCTCCTGTGCATTGTATCGGACTGTGGCCGACAGGGCCCACCCCTCAGCCCTCCGCCTGGGCCCCGCTGGCAAGAGGCCTGCTGGTGCAGTGCCCCTCCAGGCCATGCAGGCTCCTCACCTCCAGCTGCACGGCCAGCACTTGAGTGCAGCTGGGTCTGGAGCCCCAGGGCGGAGGCTTCAGCCCCGTCTTCCCCGGGGTTGTGCTGGTGGATCAGGGAAGGCTGGTGGCACGACCAGGTGACAATAAGGGAAGACGGCCTTGAAGAGCCAGCTGTGTGCCCAGGAGCCTGCCCGGGGCCACCCTGAGTGATGTGGTTCCATACACTGGGCACACGGGGCGGGTGCCAGGGTTCCAGTCCTGTAGGCCGAGGCCTGGTGGCTGGTGGGTGAGTGGGGGGGTCAGGACCTGAGCCCTGGGGAAGGCCTGGCCTGGCTGCAGGCATAGCAAGCTTGGCCACCCGACTGCTCCGTCCAGTCCCTCTGTGGCTGGAGGCAAGAAGGCCATTGTGTGACAGGGAATGTGACCAGGGGCATCTGCTCCTCCCGGCCCCTGCCGCCTCTGTCCCAGAACCTGTCTCACCACTGGACACAGGTCCTCGGTCCGTTGGAGGCTTGTGGCAGGAGATACACTTGTGTGCACATTGGTTCTGGGACATGCTCGTACTCCCCAGTTCCCAGACGGGCACTGAGGTGATAGGAATGCATGTGGCTCCCGCCCATGCTCGGGGTTCGGCAGGAGGGAGAGCCGCTGAGACAGCGTGGTCAGGGGCGACGCTCAAGGCTCCGGAGACGAGGGCCCCGCCGGGCTTCACATGGGGAGGTGTCTGCTGAGCCTGGGGAGCTCCGGGCTCCCAGGGCCCCAGGAGCGGGCGCAGGGGCTCATGTGGGCAGAGAAGCGAGTGGAAGAGGACGGAAGTCTGGCCACGAGGTCACGGTTGAGTTGGAGAGGCCTGTGGGGCTGAAGCCCTGCCCAGGAAGGAGCCGAGCCAGGAGAGGTGCAGACAGCAGGGGACGGCGAAGGCTCGGGAGGGGAAGGGGCCCTGGGGGGCCGGCCCCGAGGAACCCCGAAAGGCCTGTGAGAACTGCCTCCCCGGGAACAGCGGTCCAGGAGGCTGGAGAGTGGGGTGGACAGTCACACGGCCTGGCTGCTTGCTGTGGGGTCTCCAGGGCCGCTGGAGCACATGGGCAGGCTGCTCTCCCTCTGCAGAAGGCCAGTCACTGTCGAAGGCCCTTCTCAGTGTAATTAAAAAAGATAATTAACAACCAGCATGGGAGCTGCCTTCCTGGCAGCCCAGATTATGGGGGCCTGGCCGCTGTTGTGGGGAGGGAGCCGAGATCTCCCTGTGGCTGTCAGCCGGGGTCAGGAAAGCCTTGGGTCCCAGTGTGGGCGGAGACCTCATCCCCCAACCTGCCAACCTCAGGTGTTTAGCTCATGTCCTGAGGTGCCCTGCCCTGCCCTGTGCCAGGGGGACCAGGAAGGAGTCCCTGCTCTTCCCTCAAGAAGGTGAGGAGCTCACGATGGGCCAAGATTTGTACCCAGACACTGCCCCAGGGTGGAGGCAACGGTCCTGGAAGCCTGACACACACCTGTCATTTCGAGGGGTCTGGGGGACTTGCAGCTTCTATGGAGCAGTCACGGAATGGGTCGGGGGGGTCACTGCAAGTTCAGCCCCTCGATGTGAGCTGGTGACCTCCAATCCATGGCTCCAGGTAGGTGTCCTCACCTGCCCAACTTCCTTAGATGCCCATGGCACCTCAGACTCCCTGTGCCTCCAGCCGGGCTTGTCAAACTAAGGGCACACCTGGACACTGCTGGGTGCCCACCGGACGCTCATTGGCTCCTCCTCCCACAATGAACTCTGATTTTGTCCAGGGCGCCCGTGAATCCCACCAAAGCCGCTCAGCCTTCCTCGCCGCGCTGGGGGGCTTCTCCCTCAGCTCCTCTTCATTCAGGCCTCCTGGCCGCCTTCTGAACAGATCCTGGGGCGTCTTGCTGCCTCTGGCATCTCCCTTCAGTCTGTCAGTGGAGCACACCCATTATTCTCGTGTGTAAGTCCCCTACTGGTTTCCGTGTTCCACACAAGCCCCCTCCCTGACCCAGACCCTGCAGGGTTCGGCACCTGACCATCTCTCCACTCTGTTTGCCTCTGCGCCCGGCCTTGAATTCAGTGTCCCGGTGACATGGCTGAGCCCATGCCCTGGTTCTCTGCCTGCCCTTCTACCCTGCGCTGTGGCCAAGTGCACCCAGAAATGTACCTTCCCCTCACCTGCTGTTGTCCGCTCCTTTTAGGGCCTGTGCCAAGGCCCAGGTCCCATCGAGCAGCATGGAGGGGGCTGAGCCACCCATGCTTCTGACCCCCACCCATGTGACCAGGTCAGGGTCCAGGCTCGGGTGCTGGGTGTGCACTCTGCTCTGTCCCTGCCACTTGGCCACTGCCACTCGCTACAGAGACACACGGCACTGTTTACTGAAACGTGAAATAGGCCCGGCTGGTGTGGCTCAGTGGTTGAGCATGGACCCAGGCACCAAGAGGTCACCACTTCGATTCCCGGTCAGGGCACATGCCCAGGTCGTGGGGCTGATCCCCAGTGGGGGGCATGCAGGAGGCGGCCAGTCGATGTTCTCTCTCATTGATGTTTCTATTTCTCTCTCCCTTTTCCTTCCCTCTCTCTCTCTCAAATTAATAAAAACAAATAAATAAATAAATAAATAAATAAATAAATAAATAAATAAATAAATAAAAAAAATACAACATGAAATAGATGAGTCATCACCCCAACCCAGTGGCCTGGTTCATTTTTACCTGTTGCAGATGGTAGTTTTGAAAAACTCCAGGGCAGACTGGTGTTGCTCTTGGCTGCCTTTTACCTGATTCGATGTGACCCAACCATGAAGGCTTCACCCCTCTGCAGGCTCCAAGTCTGCCCTGTGTCCTGACGGGGCAAAGCCTGGCACACACCCAGGGCGGTGGGCAGTGCCCTCTGGGGGACCTTCCGCGATCCACAGGGAGCCTCCAGCCCGCTTCCCCATAGCGTTTAACTGAGGAGGTTGTCATGCTGAAGCCCACAGAGCGGACCACCTGCGGAGCCTGGGGCACCCCGAGCCTGCTCAGACATTCCTTCTGAAATGTTGGTTCCCCGAGTTTGCCTTCCCCTCGCTGTCCTTCCCCCTACTGCTCTGTCTCTCCATTTCATTCACAAGACAGTTCTGAGAGACCACGCCGTCCTGAGGCGGGGTTCCACGGTGAGGTGTGTGTCCATCATTTCCGAGAGAACATCTGTCTTCTGCAGCATGAGCTGTGCATGTCCTTGTCCCCACAGAGACTGCAGCCGCTCAGCGGCCTTCAGAATTCCCTCCCGGCACTGTCTGCGCGCGGCAGCCGCGCCGAGTGCATGCCAGCACCGTCGTGTCTTCTGCTGGGGATCTTAGATTTTTATGTAGTAGGGAGAAAACAATTTCTATTGGAAAATTTGCCCACGGTTTGAAGGAGGGGGAGCAAAACAGATATCTAACAACGTTGGAAGGTCGTTTGTGGGGAAAATAAAAAGCCTTAAAGAGCATGTTTAGTTCTGAGAGCTGGTCCCTCAGCACCCATCACCGTCTGGATGGGAGAAGCCAAGACACGAAGAGACAGTCGTTTTCCTGTGCCTGTGGGAGGTGGATGTGAGGACCCCCAGAGGGAAGGTGGGGAGAGGAGGACAAAGTCTGGAGGGAGCAGGGCCTGGGGAGTGGCAGGCAGCTCAGCCTGAAGAAGGACCAGTGGGAGACACATATTGAAGAATAACATTCTGTTCAAGTTGTTTCTAATTCTGTGCCGGTCTGGAAACCCCACCCTTGAGCCTGAACCCTTCATGTGTCCATGCTGCTGTGAGGACTTCCAGGAGAGGGCCTGGGTTCCGCGTGGGGCTGACCTGGGCGAGGAGAGAGGACCGCGTTCGGGAAAACGCCATCTCCCCAGAGCTCGCTGCCCAGCAGGGGTCCTGGGAGACAGCAGGACAGGAACTGACATCTCAGAGCAGGTGGGAAGGGACAGTGAACCATTCACCCTGGAGCAAGGGGTGAGCCGGAGGCACGGCTCTGGGTCGTGCTCGGGCTCCTGGAGGCAGGCGCTGGGCTGGCTGAGAGCTGGGCTCTGGCCCCAGAGCCACCAAACCTGGACCTCTGTCTCCTATCAAATAGTGTGATGACACAGTCGATTCGCAGGGTGAGTGCATGAATTAAGAAGTATCACACGGTATTTTTATTTTATTTTTAAAAATTAATTAATTAATTTATTTTTGTTACAGATGTTTCTCCTTTTCCCCCCACGATACCCCCCTCACCCTTCCTCCCCGCCCTGTCCCCAGCTTTGTTGTCCATGTCCGTTGTTCATGCACACATGCATATAAGTTCTGTGGCTTATCTCTCGTCCCCCACCCCCTCTTCTGGGAATTGTTAGTCTGGACCCCACTTCCATGTCTCTGGGACTACCCCATTCCTCACACTGTTATGTTCATTATATTCCACAAATAA